CATACACCCTGGACCCAAAGGCACCATGAAAGAAATTAGTCAAGATGCCAGGGATAAACAGATGACTTCACTGCTGACTAATCATTCTCCCACATGATCCCTGAAGCCCTCACCCATATTCCTGCTCTAAAATTATCTGTGATTTTAAGCCTTTGGGAGTCCAAAGTCTTCAAGTTCCTTTTTCTTCTTCATTCTCCCTGACTGGCCACTCAATAAATACTGTTCTTCATCACTGCAAACCTTGGCATAAGAGACTCTTAGTCATTTGGAGCAGCGGATGATGGACCGCCTCTCGGTTCAGTAACAAGTTTCAATAGCTCCAGCCAGAGTATATCTGGGTGAGGCAGTCCATACTGGACATCACTTACCAAAATATCAAAAAGTCTTCATTCAGGAAGTGTCATCTACAAAATAATCTTCCAGTATGGAACTTCAAGAAATAACTTGTCTGATATAACCAACTATCTGCTCTACCCAAGAAGAAATATGACTTGCCTTCTTGGACACTTCCTAAAATATAAAAATCATTTTGTTTTCTCATGTTAATTACCAGTAGATTTGATATACAACTTTGTGGGTTTGATATTATATTATCTTCTTGGTTTTGGGAAAGTGAACTTTATAGGAATACAACTTGCAACTTAGTGGGTTTTATACTATATTATCTTCTTGGTTTGGGGAAAGTGAACTTTATATGAATGTGTAATTTATTAGCAACTAATAAAAGCAGAGAATTTGGCACCTTGAATGGTAATTAACATTTGCTCACAAATTTTAAATACCAGGGAACAGCTTGATTTCTACATAACTATGACTTCAACTGATTGATTATGACTTTATAAATATCTTTACTTCATTATTTATTTTTTTCTGCTAAAATGTGTTTAAAACAGTATTTGTACACACTGGTTTTAAAGTATATAAAATTTCTTTTTTCTCAGTGCAATTATAAATTATTTAGAAAATTAGATTTTACTTGTTTTACATAGATTCTGTCATTCCTATAAAGGAGAAAGCTGTTCATTATGTATGCTAGAAGGCAAAGGACTGCTTTTTTCTTTTACTTTTTTCACATCACAGATGGCAGTTGCAATCCCATATATTATAGCACTTTGTTTAAGAGCCTAGACTTTTGATATGTTTATGTAACCAATCAAGGTAACTGCAATAATGCTTAGTGTCACTGCTAAATAATAAGGATAGCAGTTTTGCAAGTTATTTTATTGTTGTTGTTGTTGTAAAATAGTTTATATTGATTAATACAACTGGCAACTGCATATATTTTTTAACTCATAAAACACATATTTGTAAAAAAAGCATTTTTTCCAAGTAGCATCTATGGCAGTAAATATCTTATTGTAACATATAATAATCAAGGCCTATTGCAGGTCATTTTTTAATAGTATGTTATTGACGGATTATTACCAATTGATTTTTAAAAGAATGCTCTGTACTTATTAAGGGTGGAGGGTATATCTCAACAACTTTCTCACATAAAATAGAGCAAGTCTTTCTTTGCAACATTGTTCTGAAGCCTCATTATGCAACACTTTCCTATTAGAAGCAAGAATTGTATTATCAAATTGTTATGTTGAAGAGTGCCCATCCATGAGAGAGGTAGCAAAGTACAGCAGTTGAAATAATGGACACTAGAGCAAGGCAGGGTACCTCTATTCAAACCTCAATTGTACTATTTATCAGCAACATGTCCTTGGGCAAATTAATTATCTTTGTCTCCGTTAACTCCTCTATAAAATGGGTGTCATCATTAATAGCTATCTCACACCAGTGTAGATAGAATTATGCCAATCACATAGAAAGTGCTGCATGCATTTTTAATAAATAATTTAAAATTTGTTCCCAAAGCACTCTGTGTTATGCCCCTATTTTGGGCTTTTCACAATGTATTGTAATAATCAGGCTATTTTTAAGCTCCTTTAGGGTACAAATTGCTTACCTTTGTTTGCTCTGCAGATAGCACAGTTCTTAGGATGCCATAGGGTCTATGCATGTGGTTCTCATTTAACAAATAGAACTTAAGTGTTTTTTATGTCCCAGACACTCAATATGTACTCTACTTTGCACTGAGGGTACAAATGAACCTCCTTTCATGTAGCTTGATGTATATCAGAAGATGACAAACAAATGAATTTATTCAGCATGGTATCATAAATGCTACCCTAGGAAAAGCACACATTGCTCTAAGAACATAAAGGAGGTGTGCCCAACTAGAACTGGGTTGTAGGAGGGCTAGAGTATCTCTGAGATCTGAGGGATGAGTCCTCTTTACAGAAGAGAATGTGAAGGTCTGGAGGATTGATATTAAAGAAAAAATAGTCTGGCTGGAGTACAGAATGGATAGTGGTGGACGGAGACGTGGCTGTACAGGAAAGCAGAGGAGAGAGTATGTATATGAGCTGCACATTTGCACTATTAAAAAAAATATGATGTTGAGGAAAATCTAGGAAGTAAAATCTGTTGGATATATTGTTTGATTCAATTTAAGAGAGAGAAAGAAGGTTATGATTCACGCTTAAGTGTTGCTTGGGTAAACAGGTAGATTTTGCAGACCTCCTGTATAGACAGAAATGGAAATCAAGGTATATGAAATGCCTGATTGAGTGGAGGAAGGTGATGAGATCATTTGGAGACATATTGAGCCTGAGGTCCCTGTAGAATATAGATGGTACTCACATGGATGCAGATATATCAAGTGGGCAGTGGGATATATGTCTCAAACTCAGAAGAGAAACCAGCATTGAGAACAGAAATTTGGAGGTAATTATCATTAGCATAAAGTTGATAAGTGAGGTAAAGGAATTAGGGCTGGTGGAGGAGAGTGTATCTACTGATAAGCAAGTGTCTCTGGTGATAAGGAGAGACTATATCTAGTGATAAGGAGAGAGTGAGTTAATCAGAAGGAATAGAAAAGCATCTTACAAAGAATACAGAGTTACTTCAAGAGGGTAGGAGGAAAATCAGAAGAATTCACTCGCCTCTTATGGAGGTCAAGGGAAAAGAGCATTCTGTGTACTGATCAAATATATAGTAGAAAAATATAAGCATAAATTATACTATTACAATTGACCTCTTTTTGACATGCTGCTATAAATTCTACTCTTAAATTTATGTTTACAAATATGTATAAATGTGGCATATATATATTTTCAGATCAGAATGCTTTCTTGTAAGCATTTTGGTGAATTGTAA